TGCATTTACATGCACAAGCACACACACACACACACAAAGTGCATTTGAATGATTTATTAATGTCCGCTAAAGCCCAAGACACATAGGGATGCAAGTAGTTAAGGCAAGAATTATGTCCCTCTATTTTCTCACTATTTGACTTTCTATCAACACACACACACTTAAATTACTTATGCAAGCCTTGGTACCCTGACACATTAACCTTAACCATGAATACAGCATGCCAAAACCCCAACCACTATCTATCGTCAATCTAAACCTGATCCTAACCTTGCGATAAAAAGGGACAGGCTTTTGTCGCCAAGTAATTGCCTTCACACGAACGAAAGATCAACAGGAAATGGACAGTTTGTTCACACAGTTTCTTTCACAACAGAGTTACAGTGTGCTTTACATGGCTATTTTAATATCAACATGAACTCAATAAACCTAACCTGTACTACCGTAAGATCAAGTCCTAACCTTTTAACGACTGGAGTGACGAATAAGACACTTTTGTTGGACAGCTGATGAATGTCATAACATACATCCAGTATTGCAGATGAAATATTGGGCGAATGTTTATAGAGGTTAGTAGAGGTTAACGATTGGTCATTATACTCACCTTTAGTATTGGAAAACAGTCAATCGCAAGACCAAGTCCTTACCCTCAAACAAACCAGACCAAAGATTGACTTAACAATCCAAAATGTTCTCGCTATCACCGTTCAAAACTCAGATTGGTCCTCACTAAGACAGAAGGACAAGACACACACTCTAAGCTTCAAAGCAAGCATGTCATTTTTCATTAGCAGCTGCCTCTTTGGTTCTGCGAAACCCAGTACAATATGTAGATTAGGCTTACACGTTATTGCAGTGAGATCTTGATATGGGGTTCATTATAGTTATTTGACTTTGGGATCAATGCGTATTGACAGTGAGGTTCACTAATGACATCACCAACAATCAGGACAAGTGAACGAGCTGTACGCTGTCATTGGAATACAGATTCCTCTGGTGGATATTTATCAGAGTGGACAGTGCTTTAGAAGGAAAGCGAATCAGGAAAAAGGGCAGACATGACATCCAGTTGTTGACAATATAAATAAAAGCAAGCAGTCTTACAATGCATATCTGGCACCAACAGATAAAATCAAACCTCACATCAGAGAGACTTGGCGATTAGGAAAAATAGACAATCAAAATTAAGGCAATGAAATACCTGTTGATAGGAATCTTTTGTGCAAACCTGATGAGCCCTCAGACACGCTAGTGTAATGTAGCAGTCAATCAGCAATCATTGATGAAAAGCATCACAAGTACCTTGACTTTACTGATTGGACCAAAAGAGTATTGGACACTGACTAAATAACAAGCTGGGAAAGCGGAAGGGGCTAAATGTCATCACTAATCAAAAGAATATTTGCCATAGACAAGTTGAATAGATACTGATGACAGAAACCAGCATATTCTGTATTCCTTTACTTCTATTTTTTTTATTGAGTTTTTACTATTATTCTATTCTAATAATCTTACTATATAATGACGAAAACTCTGTCTGTGTGTCTGTTCCACATTTTTCTCCTCACTGACTTGGTCAATCCATGTGAAATTTGGCACAGTGGTAGAGGGTCATGGGAGGATGTGAATGAAGCAATATTACATCAATTGGCCAAAGGGGGGGCGCTATAGCAACCGATTGAAATTGCAGACTTTGAATGAGCATATCTCATGCCCTGTATGTCGGAGAGACATGAAACTTTGCACAGAGATGCCTCTTCTCATGAGGAACAAATTTGCCACAAGAACCCATAACTTACGGTTATATAGATTTTCCGCTATTTTTAATTTTTTGAAAAACACTTCAAATCGATCTCTTCCTAGGAAGTTTGAGCGATCTGCATGAAACTCGATGAACATAATCTAGGGACCAATATCTAAAGTTCCCTCTTGGCAAAAGTTGGAAAACTTACTAAAACTGAGCTTCTATAAGGCAATGAATATTGCGGAGGGCGTGGCTCATCACATAAAGGTGTATAACATCTCAAGGGTTTCACCCATCACCACGCAACTTTGTAGGCATATGACCACACATAATCTGAGGGGACCCCTCCATTATTGACCCCATCAAACAAAATGGGGGCGCTAGAGAGCTAATTTCTTATCTAGGCCTAACCGCCATATGGATTTTTACTAAACTCGGTAGATATGTAGAACAGGACGCCTCAAGGTGACTGAAGAAATTTAACTCTAATTGGCAACTAGGTGGCGCTAGGGGGGTTTCTAAATTTTGGTATGACTAAGTCATGGTATGGTATGCTGTACATAATCATGGAAACTGTCAGTGTGTCATCTGTCTGCCCCACGTTTTTCTACTCACGTGGTCAATCTATGTGAAACTGCACATAGGCATTGAGGATTGGCATAGGCAGAAGGTGACAAAGCTACCAATGGGTATGGACTAGTATTTATTACTTTATAAAAAAGACTACTCAGTCTGCCCTCCCATCCCTCCATGCTCTCCCTGGAGATCCATCTCCTCTTCATATCACCACACTAGACCTCTGTTGTATAATACTGCCTCTGAGGGATTAGAGCAGAATGAAGTACATCATCCTCTTTCCGAAAACTTCCCCGCCATGCAACACATCAGTCACTGTGGAGTGCGTAGTAATCTCAGAGTTCAGAGAGGAGACACTGATGGGACAGCGTGGGCCTCCCACACAGCCTTCTCCGTATTCAACATGAGCCACTTTAACTTAATGAAGAAAGAAGCAGCACAGTGCTGAGAGTGAACCGAGCCACCTCAATTAAAACTTCAAACAACCCCCGCACGAGCGTGACGACAAAGCTGAATATTTGATTGAGGGCAGTTCTGTCTTCTCTGATTTTTATCCGCTGTTCAACACTCACAGTGAAAGGAGGAATATTTTAGCAGTGACGGCAGAAGTAGGAGGTCGTATGTAGCCATGTCACAGTGAAGAAAATCCAATAACCTGTATGTTGCTAAACCTGTGCCCATGAATCTCATTTTAGATTATTCATGAAATAATATCGTATGTAAAATCCCTACAAAATACCCCATTTTGGGGATGTGAAACTGAAATTAAATGTCCTGGTTTGAACCTGCTTGGTTTGGTGTCAGTACAGCCAGATCATGGCCCCCATTAGGCAAGTAGAGGTGAAGTATCTTCCTCGAGAATACTCAAACAGGTAGATATACGTGCTCCAGATCACATACAGATACATTTGGATGAGGCACCATTCATCCATGTGTGCCTCCAGTCGGGGCCAGGTCAGAGCACAAACAGCATCCCCTGAGCTGGGAGGCATTAAAGTGTCATGCTCAAGGACATTTCTGCAGGACAGCCACACTTAAACCCCTCCTTTTCTGAGCATGTGGAGGCAGGAGTAGAGATTGGTAACTCTTAAAATACACTACAGTCTTTATTTGTTAATTCATTTATTTTACTCAGTTACAAAAAGATGGAGGTGAAAGGGACAGGTGCAGTTAGTTACTGTCGTTTGACCTGTTGATTCTGCCTGCTAATCGAAACGGCTAGAAGTCGAAGCAATCAAGATAATGCTAAGGTAAACCCTTAGCATTCAATTGCAGCAATCATGTCAAAAAGCCCACTCACTCTTAGAGCCATAACTCCCTCTCTCAAATCAGAACATAGATGTACTTTACTTAGATTCAATGTGACTTACACTTTCCGTGGATATATTTGTCTCCCGAGTCCGTCACAAAAAAATCTCCATCAATCTGTTTGAGTAAGACACTTCTTGTAACTGCAGAACCTGCCTAAAAATCATCATCTTGTGCAATCCAGTCACATTTGTCTGTATCTTCAGAGGTACATTGTAAACAGAAACTGCTATTAGCTAATTTATCATACTTTAAATGATGCCAATTTGCCAAAAAACTTACCAGAAAAACTTAAAGTCCAACTTCTTCAGTGCAACCAAGACTTTTTTTAGGCAATTAAATTGTTACAATTAACTTAAATGAACTTAAAACACTCCAAACATCTATCTATCTATCTATCTATCTATCTATCTATCTATCTATCTATCGATCTATCTATCTATCTATCTCTAACCCAGCTGAGATCTAATGTAACAAATACATGGGCAAGAGTTGGGCAAACAGTATCCATCCATCCATCCATCCATCCATCAGTGTCTTTAGGGACTGACTCACTTTTGGAGCCATCCATCCATCCATGAATTGCATTTCAAGGAATTCCAGGATCTGCAGTTCTGGCACTTCCAGACTTGCTTCATTTTTCAGCCCAGGAAGCTGCCGCTTGTGTACAAGTCATAGCCCTTAGTGTAACTCGCAGAATCCATGGTAACATTATACATGAGCATAATACTGCAGTTGCCATGCTGAAACCCTTGTCCTCCATTATTTAGCAGGCAACTGTTACTACCTTATTTATTTACAGTTTTAATCATTCATTTCCTTTTCGGTGACCCAAAGCTCCCTGGTTATTAACTACATCGATATGGGCCCATTGCCAAAGCATATTCCTGCTGAGGCTTCTTCCCTGCCTCAATAAGTTTCCCAAACAATAATTGCTTTTACAGGACAGAGGGAGATGCAGTGTGCGCTCCCAGAGCATGAGGCTCTTTCCCAGAAGACGCTCCTCTCCACAGTAACTGTCTGTGCTCTGCTGGCTGCTTGCCTAATTAAAGGTCAGTTAGCTAGCTGGGTGCCAAAGCAGCATAAACACATTAAAGGGAAATGCCACTCAATAACGCAACTGAGCTGAGGTTTGTGAACATCAGGCGCTGTGTCCCTTTGCTTTGGAACACCAGTATCCCTCTTCAGGTAGGGCTCGTGAGAGATAATGAGCTCTGCTGGTGAGACTGCTTAGTGCCTCTCAGCTGTCAGAGCTGTCTAATGTGGACGTATGAGCCTTTTGGAGCCAAGTTTAAGGAACCGTCCTCTGAGTGAAGGTTGTGCTTCGATACAGTAACTCATCTAACATGTGAACGTGTGTTTTTTTCCCCAGTGAGCATGACCTGGGTGAGGATGACATCTATGACTGTGTGCCGTGTGAGGACGATGGGGATGATATCTATGAGGACATCATTAAGGTGGAAGTACGACAGCCCATGGTGAGAACATTGTTTCACAATCCCAGGTCTTTTATGATTCGGGATGCTTTGGAGGTCTATGACTGAAAGATCACCTTAGATACCTCGTGTCCATTAGACAACACTTATTACCAGGAAGGATGAAATGAATGAATAGTGCCAAGCAGAGGAAACACTTCGGCCCAATCCCATTTCATATTTTTACCCCCACCCCTAATGAGCACCACCTTGCCCCTTGGAACAGAGTTACAAGGGATAGTGGTTGAAAACTTCCTGTATGAATTGGGGCAACCCTTCAAGCCCCTGATACGTCATTGGTATGGTGGCATTTGCATACACAGACGCATTAAGTGTTGGAATTGGTAAAATACCATTTTCTATAGTGGTAATTTCTCTTTTGTGGCCTACAGACAGCCTTTTGTGGTTGTCAGGATGCTCGTAATTGGTTCACAACCTAGGTTTTATGCTATCAATCGATCAAACAAGTCATCAAATAAAATTTAACGCTGCTTTATTATGAGGCATCTATCACTGCTCTGTAGGCTAACGTTAGCAGTGTGTGCTCCTACCCTGCCTGTCTGCATTAATATTTAAGGAACAGTAAAGAGTGCAATTACTTCGCTGCACTTAAGTTACCTTTCATGCATCATAGGCCATTAAGCAGAGGGGAATGCAACATGGACATACAGTATATCAAAATGCAGGGCTTTCATGCACAAATTAGCAATAACAATGTAACATTGGCTGGTTAGTTAGCTACAGAGATTTCGGCGTACTAGCGATTTCTTTTGTTATGCTTGCTATAAAGAAACAGACCATAGTAAATTTTAAACGATATTAAACAAATTAAAGATATTATGATAGTTACAGTAATTTTAAAATCTTTTTATTAACAAGAAAATACTTGTTTGGGTTTGTTTTGTGCTTGCACTGCCACCTTACCAATGATCTATGAAACACTTGGTTTTAAGTGTGCCTCCAAAAATGTAGCCCTCAAGGCCTTTGCACAGTGAGTCAGTTTTTTTTTTCTTAAATTCATTTTGTTAATCTGTCATCCGAAGAAAAATTGTTATGCACAGAAACCTTGCACACTGATTCCAATGCATTTTATTGTTCTATTCGTTGTAAAAATTCGCAATACGTGACAAAATAAAAAGACACATTTCCTCCATTGCCTCTCTCCATTGGAGTTACCCATCTCGCTGTCATCACTCCCTCCTGTCTTTCATTTGGCACTGCAGCTGCATGTCCTCCCTCTCTGTCCTCCACACTTTGTGTGCGGTCCACATCCTCCTCCTCTTCATCATCATCAACCTGAACATTACTATCTGACCTGTTGAAAGTGAACTGTCTGAGTTATGAAATTATTCTGGCCTCCCCGTTCCTCTGTCTTGTCCCGGCTGTGTCCTGCCGCCACATTTTCCTCACTGATTCCTGGTCAAACGTCTTTAGAGTCTTTGGACGGATGTGAAAAACGCAGACAATCGAAACTGTTTCAAGAATTTTAATGACGGACGAAAGTTATGGGCTCAGTGTGCAAACCTGGTTGACACAAGGTGAAGTCGTTTTTATTTTTAAACATGCAACAATTTTCTGATGAAGAAACGGACTCAGTGTGCAAAGGCCTTTACACTTCACCCTACTCCTCTATATGAACAAGAATGAGAACACCTTACCCCTAGACACGAACATGCAAAACAGAGTACAGGAAAAGGGTGTATTGGGATTGGGCCTTCCTCTCACTTACCTTAGGTTTTGCATGACATCATATCTCTAAACGCACTGAGATCTCTTTCCTAACTGGTGATGAACTTGACTTCTGACTTGCACTGCTTTGCCTTCCCCATGCTGCAGATCAGATACATGCAGGTGAGTGCTGCTGTGCTTGTGACTCACCACACCCCTGTCAGCTAACTCCCTCCGCACTTCATTAAAAACAAACTCATGGCATCCCAAGAGAATGACCTGCCAGTTAGATTATTGACCCTCGCCTAGGGGTGAAGGAGATCCCATCTGGTTCAAAGTCTGACTCAGGGCCCTTTGGAGACGATTGTGACTTCAGCTCGGTGACTGCAGCTTTAACTGACGTCAGCGAGGACCACCAGCTGCTGCATTGAACCTGAAAACATGAGACAAATAAATATTATCCTGCTGGCACTGAGCCCTGCTTATGACTGGTTGATTACAAGCTGGATTCAGGCCTGTACTGGACATGCATTTGTACATTGTTAGCCCCAGTTTTTTATTATCTGCAGTGGTTATCAACAGCCAAATCTGTTCCAGATGGCTCAGTTAGTTATTCCACAGTCAGGCTGCTCATATCACTCCCACATCATAGACAATCCACATAGACATGAGGCCTCTGTCGATGTTGGTATTTTTTCACCACAGTCAATAGGGTGAGTCAGTATGCATTACAGTATACTCTCCTCTCAAAGAAGCACATGTTTATGTATATATACCCATGTTCGTACATGGAGACTTACTCAGACATCAGGTCTCTTGAGAAACACTCTCTGTAGATAAGTTTGTATCTTTTCCCCATCTTCCACCGCCCCCTCACAACATGCCTGCTTGCTTGGCTATGACTTAAAATTCTGTGATTCATCTACATGCATATGCCTCGTTCAGCCGGCCAGCCCACACATACAGTGACACACAAAAGCTCACCAGCTCCCAAGCCTCCCTTTTGCTCTAAAGTCAATGTCATCACCACCTCCCTTTACTCTATGCCAGATATGTTTGTAATGCACAGTCCAGCTACTTAACTGCGCAGTCTTCACTTTTCTCCTGACTACATTTAAACACAGACTCTACAGTTTTAGATTTTTGGATGCATTTTTCCTTTTGTTCCAGCAGCATTTGTAAACAGTATGAAAAAATCAATTAGCAAATGGAATGCAGTATTGATAATGAGTGGCTTATCCTGGTGAAGTAAAGTAAAACAGACTCTTGAAACCAGCAAGAGTCATGTAATCCATCACAATCAACATTAAGTCTGCATTCATTTTTATCAATGTTACATTATGGTTGCATGGTAAATTGATTGGATTCGTCTCCACTGCATTATCTCATGCAGATAATGCAATTTAAAAGGAATGTGCAACAATTTTCAAGTGTGTGCTTATAGATTTTAAAGTGTATGGAAATGGCTGCCTGGAATGGTAGTAAATATAAGGTAAAATTTCTGAAACAGCAGCACGGTTTGCAAAATGCTCAGCTGTTAGGATATATGCGTTTTGAGAATCGGTGGTCCTTTTAAAAAAACAGTGTTTACACTTCAATTTAGATATATACTCAATGAGAATCTGGCATTGGCCTGAACTCATTTTTTTGTACAAATACTACGTAATTTTTTACAGTTATCAAAACATCAATGACATATCAGAGCCAAAAAGGATAGAAAGAAACAGAGCAGGTGGACGGTAGTCATAACCCTGGTCTTTTTTAAATTTTATTTTATTTCATTTGGTGCAATAAAAACTTGGATATTCTCAAAAGAAAAAAAACAGGTTACACTTAAATGTAGTTAGAAACTCAATGGCCTTAACTCAATTTTTTGTGTAAAAGTCATGTCATTTTTTGCAATTTTCATTTAAAAAAAAAAAAAAAAAAAAAAAAAAAACAGTCATGATAGTCATGCTGAAAACATCAACGGCATATTAGCCAAAAAAAGAAGGAGAAAGAAATAGAGTTTAAGGACAGGAGTTATTTCATGAGAGAAAAAAATCAGACTTTCTGAGATTTTATTTTATTTATTTCATTTTATTTTATTTGGTACAATAAAAATTTGGATTTTGTCACTTTGTATACCACACCACCTGACTTTCTGGCAGTAAACTTTGTGAGCTTTTTCTTGGAAATGCACTACGTTATCTCAAAGAATATCCATGTTCTTAGTCGTAAATGTATGATTTTAATCTCAGAAATTCTCAGAAGTCATTGTAGGAAATGACAGTTTACAGTAATCTCCATGAAAAAAAACGTATATCTTGACGATGTTATAAATCAAAAGACAATCATAAATCAAAATCATGCAGATTATTTGTCCGGACTCATTATGTTTCCCTTTCTCACCGTAGAAAATGGGTATGTCAGAAGATGACAAAAGAAACTGCTGCTTAGTGGAGATCCAGGAGACTGAAGCAAAGTACTACAAGACTTTAGAGGACATTGAAAAGGTGAGTGACACAACATGCACGTCTGCTATATGTGAACATACATCTGAGTGTGTTGATATGTGTGCATTTTTATCCTGGCACATGCAGTGTTAGAGTTTCCTTTTGTCACTTCTTCTTTGTTGGTGTATCAGGCCTTTGGGCCAGGTCGCAGCATGGAAATGTCAGCTATTGGCAGATTCATTGGGGAGCACAAATGTCACAGGAGCTGATCGATAGGGTTATTATTGGATCAGCCTCCACAGGAGACACTGCTCCCTTGGGCTTTAAGTATAGACACGCACATCACAGGCTCAAGGACATATATGTGAACACACACACACATACTAGCAACCTCTGTCGGGAAGATTAATCCTTACACATAATACATGTTCACAGTGTCTTTATGCATAACCCTCTTCAGTAATTACAGTTGCAGTGCTACATTGGACATCACTACTGCCGACAAAAGCCCACAAAACTCAATGTGCATCCCTCGAACAGCTAATTCCATGTGCTTAAAAGCCATAAACTCTCACACACACACACACCATCTCCCTACAATAAACCATCGCTGAGATCAGTGCTGCTAACACATCACTTTCTGCGTTGACAGATTTCATTCACGATTTGATGGAGCGCCACAAATCATCCGCTCCGCTAATTTCATTAAACTAAATGTGTATCCTGTGTTTCCCGCGTTGGACCAACGTGAGCCTAAATGAGAATAAATAACCCTCTCGTGATCAGAGGACTCGTTAAGCTTAATTGAGTTGGGGTTAATAAAGCCTCATTTCTTCATTGCTTCTTAGTTGAGCTATTTGTTACTATTATGATGATGGAATGTGACAACCATAAAACAACGCTGCAGAAACAATAGGCTGGCTTTTCTTCTGTAAGCACAAGTGTGGCATAGAGAGCAGCTATGGTAGATACGGTGTTTTAACCTGAAATTAAATAACTTAATGCATCTTTTAGCATGCAGCTTGGTATTGATTTTCTTTGTTGCTGCAGTTAACTTTAAATTTTGCTGTCCTTCAAATATATCTTTACAGATGCCTAAAAAGCTTGTCTGGAGCTTAATTTTATTTTATCAATACATATTTGACATGAAAGACAGACAACTCTGAGTTTTAGTATCTGTTACTTAAGAGGAACCTCAGTTATATTTACTCTTTTAACTGATGTGTCTTTTGCTCCTCTGCAGAATTACATGATCCCACTGAAGCAAGTCTTGAGTCCGCAGGACATGGAGGCTATCTTTGTCAATCTTGAGGTGAGTACGCGCTCAAGCAAAGAAAATAATATCTATACAGCATGCCTGGATGTTGCACACACCCAGTGAATAATTCACTGTGTGTATGGATGGCTGAGTGAATGCCAGGATGTGTTGTACATACATCAGGGGTGTAACAGTATGCGAAATTCACGCTCCGATGCGCTGAGATTTCAGCATCACGGTTCATTGTTCAGGAAAACAAATTTCTTTTCACTCTTTTTGAAAAACTTAAAAAAACCATTGGCTCGTGGGCTGAGATTCTTGCTGTACATCTTGGTCAATAATTAATTTACAAGACAATAAGCAACATTTCAGTATTGCAAAAAAAGTTTGTCTAGATTTAAGAAAAGAAAGTGCATATAATACACAGTAACATCTATAACCTACAGAACTCAAGACTAACCAATAACCTAGAGACTAAACTAACCTAATGCTAACTACTAAATGGTCCCAAGACATTTATCTTGGCAGTCATGCTTTCTATCTATCTATTAAACGCCATATTACCCACCAGCTGTCAGCACAAAGGGTGTTTGGGCCTTCTCCAACAGGAGGCTGCCCCCAAACTTTAGAAGTCACTTCTCCCTCACGACCTCATACTGGACTCCATTGCAGAATAAATAACTGCTCATAAGATCCATCTCTTAAAACAAGCTTACCCATTTTAACTGCAACAACTGCATCTTATTTCATAGCGATTTAGGATAAGACCAGATAAGATCAGATAAAATAATCCTTTATTCATCCCACAGCGGGGACATTACAGCATGAGTAGAAAAAAAGACGAAGCACTATGTAAGTACGTAAAACAAAGAGCAGAATGATAAACAAACAGTGTGATAACACAAAGCAGTATGTGCTACCGCTAAGTATTGTGTGAGGAAAGGAATATTAGAGGTAAGGATTGGACCAGACTCAGAAGATTTCATGAACGAGGGGAGCCAAGAGGATGGGCAATTATCGTGAAGCAGCACCACAGGACACCACTGTATATTTTAAGAGCTAAATTGAAAATATTTGAACAGGGTAATAACAAATTCACTTAGAAAATAATAAACTAAAAAAAAAATAAACTTTGCACACATAAGAAAAAAAGACAGACCTGGGTCTATTGTTCAGTGTCTCTTTAAAAGTCACGGTTCGCAATCCACTCCAGTGTGGGACCGGAAGAAAGGCAGGTATGGTCTCTGTCCTCGAAAATGTGTTCAGTTCAGTCCTACCGCACTTGACGTAGGGGTTCAGTTCACATCCTCCTTACGGCAGCGACAGGTTCTGTATCTCATGGGCCAGGCTTGCCATCCAGTGCTGGAGAAGGTTCTCTCTGAAATCGTCTCTAAATCTCTGGGATCTCCGCTGATGGTTCTGAGATGTCTTCTGAAATCTCAGCTCTTCTTAAGGGCACTCAATAAAAAACCTGACCTATGAATGAGGTCAAGATAAAATTATATTTGTGTTTATTTTATGACCATTATTGATTGTAGAATAAAGCTAGTAAATTCAATTTAATGCTGTACAACATGTTGTTCACTTCAGTTTCAAATCACAACTTCACTCGTAACTAACCAAAATAATTAGCCTGGAGAGCTGTAGTTGTAGTAGGACTCCAAATGCAGTTAAGGTGCATAGAAAAAAAAACAATACAACACAATTAACAGCAAACATTAGCTCACTGATGCACCTTTAAACTATTCCTCAATTGCTAACAGCGATATTCACCAACAAAATACAGTAAGGTTGATCTTGGTCAGCCGTTAAACTGCAGCTAATAATGGCATAAAAACTGCATGGAAACAATATAAATGTCAGTCTCCTTAATACAGCAACATGAAAGAACATGTCCGTTCATCAGCAGTATTTCTTAAACACTATTACATGTCCCGTTTTGAACCGCTAACAAATTTAGCATAGTCAAATGGGTTTTCACATGGTGACATTTAGCACTGAAGCTAGTGGAAGTTCACATGCTAATAAGCCGCATGCTAGCGGACGTTCACATGCTAATAAGCCGCGTGACATTCGAACTCAACTCACCAGTGCAATGTAGCAATGTATAGGCTTCACTGCTGGTGCCTCGGTGCTTATTGTATGTTTTATTTCTGATTTTATATTATCTTTTTGTTTTTTTTTTAAGATATTTTTGGGGGCATTTTGCCTTTAATCGATAGGACAGTCAAGTGTGAAAGGGGGAGAGAGAGGGAGTGACATGCAGCAAATGGACACAGGCTGGAGTCGAACCTGGGCCGCTGCGGCAACAGCCTTGTACATGGGGCGCCTGCTCTATCCACTAAGCCACCGACGCCCCGATTTTATATTCACTAAAGTGAACTTTAAGTGCCATGAAAGGTGCTATTAAATAAAATGTATTATTAATCTAATTATTATAGTTAAGGATGCATTAAAAGGGTAGATTGTAATGATATCTATGATGTTCATTCAGGAAGTAATAAAAGTCCACTTTGCCCTCCTGCGAGCCATCGACCTGAACATGGTTAGTGGAGGAAGTGGCCTGGGGAAGATCTTCCTCGACTTCAAGGAAAGGTTAGTAACCTGAAATTTGTAAATCTTTATTGGTCTATGCTCATGATGTTGGGTGGGTGCACAGAATGTTAAGCCCAGTTCAGACCAAAGATTTGCGACGAGACGAGTTGAAACAGGCAGCTACCTCTGCAACGTTCACCCCAGTGCAACTAGATGAGATGGTGTATCATGTCTATGCAACAAGTCTCTGTACTTCTGTTCTGATTTGCAGCTTTTCAGACTTATTTTGTGGCTGAATATAATTTGTAGCTTCTTAGAATATGAATGAGGATAGTGATAGTGTGGCTACAGCTGCATTTGTAGTAGTGATGAAACAGTGAAAAACATACAGTGAGCAGCAGCAGCGACCACTGGCGCACTGTGTGGATGGAAACAGAGGGCTCAGTGGGGACAGAGCACCTGCTGCAGCAAGCGAACACACCGTCTGCGGCCATTTTGACTTGACCAGTGGACTTCACTACAAGCCAGTTGGCTGAAAAAACAGGTGAAAATGCCTTACAATCTAAAACCAGCCGCCAGCGATTTGACCAGTTGAGTTGCAGGTGACACCATCAGCTGGCGTGAGTCGAGCTCAGACGGCTGCAACTTTTCTCTGCGACGTTCTAAAACGATTCCATCTCGTTGCGAATCTTCGGTCTGAACTGAGCCTTAAAATCCACTTGTATTTGTGAGGAAGCTGCATTCTTGATCCTACCCTTTAAGATTCAGGACAAGCATTTGCTTGTCACAGTTATATTACCTGCACTGTGGTGTTTCCTCTTACTGTACACTACCACATTATTACCACTTGGTAAGTTTTATCTTCTTAGAACATGTGAAAGTTCTTCTGAAAATCAACTTGTTTCAAGTATTTGCTAAAATCAGGTTTCATATTTTGTCAAGTGCAGCCACCTGCAGAATCTGTTCTGTTTCAAGATGGAAATCATCCTCTGCACCCCACCATTTATAAATGACATGCAACCTTCTGTTTTAGTGGTTTCGCACATTACCATCCCACTACTTTTTACTCTACCCTCATTGTCACAGTCATGGTAATTTAAAACACCTGTACTACAATTACTGTATCTATATACGTAACTGTTAATATTCCATTTAGCTTTGCTTTTTATTTCCTTCTTTAGTGTTCTGTTTTATTGCCTACTTTATTGTTCATATCATAATTTAAACATTTTAAATATCTGTTAATAGATTTCCTGTGTGTGTATTATGTTGGGGGCTACACCTACACTTCATTTTACAAGTTGAAATATTCTCACTACTCAGACATACTTGTATAGAAAAAGGGAGATGTGCTTCAACTATGGGATTCTCTGGCAAGTGCTAAACCCAAAATCTAGGGAGCCTCTTCCAAAAATATAGCCCTGTTTGCACCAAACACTTTAAGTATTTGGAGCCAACAGTAACCCTTCAGACATGGTACCTAGACCCTGGTATTTCCACTGCAAACAGTAACCATAAATGTGGGCGGGGTTGTTGTCACTCCATCCAGCACTCACTGTATTTTCTCCTTTATCAGTCTGCACCTCGTTTATCGTCCACAGAACGAGGCTGCACGCCGCCATTTTCAGAACAAAATAAAACAGGCTGCAATGAGAGTCTCTCTCCATGGGATATTTAAAAATAGCAGGTTTGTGCATTTACTCCTTCTCAGGCAAGCTCAGGGGTTTAGTGTTGCCAGTAGAGTAGTGTTTCCACAGGAACGACACTTTGCGACGCCTTTCTCTCCTAGTGAGTATTAGAATATATGAAGTTCACATAATCCAGCTGAAATTAATACATATAAACACTTGAAGATCCACTTATTACTAGAAGTGTATGTTATATAAAAACTAGAGTGAGAGCCAAGTAGTCACATGGAATATTTAGGTGTGCTGATGGATTCACGTCGTCAACTTATGCATTGAGTAACATTACAAGTTAACGTTCTACCTTAAAAGTCGCTGGCAGTGGGCCCAGTGAATTAAATTATTTTTTTCTCTGACTACAGTTACTTTCCTTTCATTTTATAGGTACAGTTTACAAATAAAGCTCTCCACAGTATGAACAGTGGTTACATGAGCCTCAAAACCAGCCACAACTCAGCCCTCAGCAGAGTGACCGTCCTCTATTGACCAATCAACAGACTGCAGTGTTCACAGCTCCACCTTTTAGAACCAGATCTCTGTGCTAGGTACCCCAACAGCGGGGGGACCAAAATTGGGGACAGTATGAAATGGTTCTATTGGTACCATCCACAACTTTTCTCATTAGAAATGGGGGGAAAAGCGTACCGAAGTGTACTGTACCATTCGGTGGAGACGGTGGAGGCATAAGTGAAAAGGTAGCACATCCCAGTGTACGGGTTCAATTCTGTAATCTACACAAGGACAGAGAGAATTAACTCTGCCCTTGTGTATATTTCTGAATTGTATACTTAAAATGCTCTGAAACAGTCTAGTGTCTGTTGTGATTCGAGCCAAATAAACAAGTGAAATGTGAGTCTGTCCTCCATGACTTGGAAATTTGAGATGTGCTACATTTTCAGATTCAGTTTTTAGAATATGTTTCACTTGATTTAAGAACATCATTTTTGAATGACTTCATGAAAAGGAGATTTCTGTGGCGTGGGGATTATAAAACATTGTGAACCGGGAAAGCTGAGGTTTATTAGCGAACAGGGTTTTCTCTCAGATGGATCTCCATCTTGCCCAGCTGCTGAATAACGTGTGGATAATTTGCATCCCTGAGGGGAGCAGTGATTTGCTTCCCTGCTGTGCCGAGTGCGGCTGATTCATAGGTAATTGTAATGAAGGTGATGATAGGTTCTGGCCCCGGTCATGATTCCATACGCAGCCACGGCTATGCCACTGTCCCCGAATGATACACCCATTACTGCTGGAGTGAGTCACACACTTCACTGCGCATGTGTACCTGTTCTTGCATACATAAGCGTGTATTATTATTCCTCTGTGTGGTGATCCTGATAGCACACATACTTTTTTCCCCTTCTTAACCCTCCAACCTGAAACAGGCAGTCACTGTGTTTCTTTGGGCGACGTCACTTTGCATAGTTTATAGGCTCGTCGCAGGCCTCTTCCTTAAGCCTAGGGGGCCGTGTTACACAAAGTTGGTGTGACACTACAGACTCTATTCCTACTAATGGACAGAGGCAGGCACATACCGTCTCCCTCTTTCCCCACACACGCATGCACACACTACTACTGTATCTCCTTCCTTGTTTCGCTCATCTGAATCTTTGATCTGATTGAGCAGTGGTTGGAAATCTGCATTTGCACGCAATCCCAGATAAGGTCCAGCTAGCCAGAGATCCCTGTAGAGGACTGGGAGGTTGTCTCGTGAAAGCTCAGAAGACGCACATGGAGAAACAAATGCAGGGAAAAGATAGGACGGGGGTTAAGCAGAGATAGTAGTTTCTACAGTTCCATCTTTTACATTGTTAATTAAGTAGATTCAGACTGGGGTTTTGGGTGTTTCTATACAAGAGGGAGCATTGTGAGGCCCTTTTTGAGGTTAAAATAACTACAAATAAATGTAAGTAAAGCTGAGCTCCTCCTTTGTTTCTGTTTTTCTAATGTTAAAGGGATAGTGCACACAAAAATGAAAATTCAGCCATTATCTACTCACCCATATGCCGAAGGAGGCTCAGGTGAAGTTTTAGAGTCCTCACAACACTTCCGGAGATCCAAGGGGAGAGGAGGTAGCAACACAACTCCACCTAATGGAGGCTGAAGTCCAAAAACACATAATTGAAACCACAAAATATCTCCATACTGCTTGTCCATAGTGATCCAAGTGTCCTGAAGCCCCGACATAAAAAGTTGTTTGGAAAAACGTCATTTGAACTCTGTTTTTAGCCTCATTGTAGCATGTAGCTCGAACTGCCTCTCTGGGCAGTGTGCTCACGTGTGCGTGCTTGCGGCAGGGAGTTCAAATGACATTTTTCCAAACAATTTTTTACGTCGGGGCTTCAGGACACTTGGATCACTACGGACAAGCAGTATGGAGATATTTTGTGGTTTCAATTATGTGTTTTTTGGACGTTTGAATCTGGGGTGCCGTAAGCCTCATATATTGCATGTTTTGGTTTTGCTAGCTTATTTTTTTGGACGCATGAAATTCAAAAACCATTTACATTAATCTCCCACTATAACAGCCTCCACTTCACTCCACTCTTCTTGGAGGACTTTCCACAAGATTTTGATACTTAGCTGTGAAGATTGGCTCCCATTGAGTCACAAGAGCATGTGGTCCAGCACTGATTCAGTGATGAGGCCTGGCTCACAGTTGGCACTACATTTCATCCCGAAGGTGTTGGGTTGGTGAGTCTGCGCAGGCCAGGCCAGTTCTTCCACACCAGCCAAGGAAAACAATTTTTCGATGGACCAAGCTTTGTGCATGGAGGCATTGTTGGGTTGAAACAAGACTGTCGGCAAAAAGTTGGAATCACACTTCCAGTGTTTAGGGAGTGTTAGAAAACAGGCTGCAATTTATGTCCACCAAAAATGCAGATTTTTGCCACTAAAAAGCTCAGAGGGAACTTACAGAAAGCACCCTCACAGAGATAGACCTTTTGGTTAAAGGCTAATACCCCTTTTTAACCAGAAACAGCCCCGAAATCACCATAGCCAATTTCACCAGACTCCATTCAAATAAACAGTAATTGCAGTGTATATAGAGCCAGCATATTTTTACATCTAACTGGTTGAATTAAGGGTTTACTTTAAGCAAACCACAGTTGGTGATTATTGGAAAGATGGAAAAACAAACCAAGACAGTTTTTTAAATTTTATTTAGTTTCAGTCGCCATTTAATGACACATGTTTGTGATGATAAATTAATGTTCATTTAAATGGAGTCTGGTAGGTTTGGCATCGGGGAGTTGGTTTCTGATTTAGCAAAAAAGATCTTACTCTTTAATAAAGAGATCACGCTCAAGTACTCCTTGTGTTAGGCTGCAGTTTCTACAGTTCAAGGTTTTACCCAGAGTCCATGTCAGCAAA